TCAGGGGGACGGCCCTCTAGGAGTCCGAAGAAAATCTTAAATAAAAGCATAGGTTGATATGCACATCAAATTAAAGAGCTTTACTAGTAGAATACAATGGCGCAAATTTCAACTCAAACGTACAACTGAGTCAAAAATGGCAGCCGTTCAAAAATGTCTTGAATTCGCCATTTTGAATCTTTGAACGGCTGCCATTTTTTACTCAGTTGTTCTTTTGAGATCAAATTTGTGGCATTATACTTTACTAAGAAAGATCTATAATTTGATGTGCATATCTACCTTTGCAAAGTTGCATATGTTTATGATTTTAGATTTTCTTCTGACTTCTAGCAGTCTTGAAGAGGTGAGGTAGCGTACTGTGCATTGCAAATTTAATGCATCTTTGAATAGCTTTCATTTCTGACTTGGTTGTCGGTTTATTCCAGGTTTGCGGCATTGGATTTTACTAACCAATACCTCTAAGCGCATAAAAACCTATGCTAATATTTAAGATTTTCTTCGGACTCCTCGCGGGCCGTCCCACTAAAGAGGTATCACATCACTGAATAGTGTGTTAAAATTATTTTAATGCCCAGTAACTGTTTACCAAGTTTTGAAGCTCTATCTTTATTACTTTTTGAAATATTTAACCGTCCTGGGACTTTTTTCCACCCTGTATATGCAGCAAAATAAGAGATGTGTTGTGTTAGCTAGCGTAAAGTTATTTCAAGTCACTCGTTCACTGGTCAAAACAGTGTTGTCGGTAATTGACAAGCAGTTTGTTGAGTCAACAAAGAGATAATCCACTTGGTTCCCAGAGCAGGTAGCCCAAAACCACTCATTTAAAAGATTTGTACTCACGACTGTTTTTTAAAGAATCCGTTTCAGTTCAGTTCTAAGAATTGAAAAGTTTCACATAACAGCATTGTTTACTTACATATCAGCATTGTTTTACTTAACAACACGGGTAACGGACCAATGAGGTTTAAGGATCGAGGGAGAAGAAGAAAAATTGAAAAGCTTCGAACTTCAACTAATCAGATGATTACCAATTTCATTGTTAACGATTGGTGCATTTAATGATTGGTACAATGAGTCGTTGCATCAATGTCAGAGGCAATGAGAGGTTATAAAAAAAAAATAGCCTCTCTCAGAAGTTTTGAGTATAGAGCAAGAGCCCATGACTGCCAGACCTTTGTTATTTTATAAAAGCTGAAAGTTTCTCAGCAAATGCCCCCAATTCAGTTAAGAATGATCGGCAACTATGAAATTTGGATCTTGGTTACTTTGGCAAGAAAAATGTAACAAAGGTCTGAAATTTACAAATAATCTTCGTTATAGTAAAAAGCTTGGTTCTTTCATATTTTCTTCTGAAGAATGTTAGAAATCATTTCCTCCATTGCTAGACACTTTGTGTGGTTTAAACCACGGCCGCCTTTAACTTTAGCGGCATTTAAAGTGGCAATGTTGCAAGTGGTGTTGTAACAGCTGTTAGTTTGGCAGCAGCTAATGGTATTTGTGTATTTACGAACGCTTGGTTACTGGACTATGACAATATTGACTCCACTTTAAAAGTACAAAAATTGATTTTCTATTTAAATATTGTTTTTGTTTTCAATTCTACATGTTTTATTTTCAATCTTTCAATAAATTTATATTCATAAATTTTAATTTTAATGAATAAAACGTGAAATAATGAGCTGGTGTCACCTGCCTGCCATGTTATCTTATGGGACGTCTGGCGCTAGACAACACCACTTGCGACGATGCCAATTCTACCAGGCCGCGGCCTGTACTTAGAGGTGGCCGTGTTTAAACCCTCTGCCAGACACCCTTAAAACTTAGGTATGACGAAGATTTATTTTCACAACTTAAACCATTATTATCTTTGAAACGGTTAGGTTTATGAAAAAATCACAAGAATAAAATCTTCTTAAAATTACATTTTCTACCAGAACACATCATAAAATAAAGGATGTTCCATAAGAAAAATCAAAGTTGGGGGCCATATTGGAAAAATGGCGGCTAAAATATTTTTTTTGACTTGACTACAATTAAAAAAAAAAAATCTAACGCACTTACCATTTAACTTTTTTTGATATCTCTTATAGTTTTTAAATAAAACGGCTGGCACACTTATATCAATCACCCTGTATAATAGGTACAGTAGTTACAAACAGTGACTTCAAAACACTGCAAGAATAAACAAACAATTAAATTCAAATATAACATATGTTTACATCAAACATATGGTTTATTATAAAAACAGATTGTGAAGAAGAAAGTAGTAATTTCACCATTTAAATTTGGCAAAGAAACCTGTTTCAAACTGGAACTGAATCTACTGTTTGCAGGTAACAGTTAAGCTTATCACGGCAGACTTTAAGGTGTCTGGCAAGATAAAATAACCAACCAAAGTGTCCGGCTTTTGAGAAAACGTCTTTTGATAGCTCCCCAAGTAACATATATCAATTTCAGCTGTTATAAAATGACAAAAATAAATTTTCGTCATACCTAAGTTTTAAGGGTGTCTGGCAGAGGGTTTAAACACGGCCACCCCTAAGTACAGGCCGCGGCCTGGTAGAATTGGCAACGTCGCAAGTGGTGTTGTCTAGCGCCAGACGTCCCATAAGATAACATGGCAGGCAGGTGACACCAGCTCATTATTTCACGTTTTATTCATTAAAATTAAAATTTATGAATATAAATTTATTGAAAGATTGAAAATAAAACATGTAGAATTGAAAACAAAAACAATATTTAAATAGAAAATCAATTTTTGTACTTTTAAAGTGGAGTCAATATTGTCATAGTCCAGTAACCAAGCTTTCGTAAATACACAAATACCATTAGCTGCTGCCAAATTAACAGCTGTTACAACACCACTTGCAACGTTGCCACTTCGAATGCCGCGGCCTGGAGTTATAGGCGGCCTTGGTTTAAACCACACAAAGTGTCTGGCAATGGAGGAAATGATTTCTAACATTATTCAGAAGAAAATATGAAAGAACCAAGCTTTATACTATAACGAAGATTGTTTGTAAATTTTAGACCTTTGTTACCTTTTTGTTGCCAAAGTAACCAAGATCCAAATGTCATAGTCGCCGATCATTCTTAACTGAATTGGGGGCATTTGCTGAGAAACTTTCAGCTTTTATTAAATGAGGAAGGTCTGGCAGTCATGGGCTCTTGGGCTAGTTGTGATTAAAAGTAATTAAAAACCGGTCGTAGGTAAAGTAGAGTACGCAACTCCTGTAAATACCTTAAAATTTAAGGCTATTACCTTAAATTTTCTACACTTGTCATTAACACTATCTTTATGTGATCGTTGCGTAATAGTAGTTTACGCAACGATTGTGTTAAGTGAGTCTTAACGACACGAGTAGAAAATACTTACTTTAGTGTAGTTAGTTTTTAGAAGTATATATATTTTTTTTACTTATAATTAGAATATTACAATAACGACTTTGAAATATTTTATGAAATTACTTTATGAATTTATAAAAACTGTCATTTTGTTTTGTTGTATATATTTGTAACTATTTGGGAAAATAAACATTATTCTTATTCTTATTCTTACTTTTTAAAGCTGTTTTAAGATAGAATAATGAACCGCAATGAGACTTTTAATTCCCTTCCCAAGATAAGACGAAATATGCTGATTTATGAATTAACTTTACAATATCACTAATGTATTAAAATTCTAAAATATTTGAAAAACCGATAACATCAACTAAATAAAAATATCTGCTTGTATGTTAATGCTTTGACAGCAAATGCAGTTGAATAAAAATGCTCCAAATTCAAGTTTGCAGTCTAACATCTAATTGATAACAGTTTTATATTTTTGAAAGTTCTAAGCTGTTGTTTTTTAATCCAGAGAATAACTAACCATATTGAATGGCCTGGTTTTGAATTAATGTTTATTATTTTACTTATTCCGAGATCAAATTGGCCTAAATAAAGTAACACATTTGACCAACTATGGTATATTCTGATTGTCCCTGTTTGGTTAAATTATTTTATGTCTGAAAACAAAAAACAAAAACTAATATGTCTAAAAACAAAAACTAATATCTAGCTGGGAAAGCTTATATTTTAATCAATTGAGAAATCTTTATCAGAATTAAGTGTAAATTAATTCTTTTTAGGTACTTTTATATGTTATTTTATTTTTCGATTGTATGATTTTTCTGTAAGGATTTTAGTTCTTAATACAATGTAGGAATAGCGTATACTCTGTAAGACCAGTAACAATATCAAATTAATTTAATTTCATTCCTTGACCGAAAAAAAAACAAAAAAAAAACTAAAAGCAAAACAAATGTTATAAACGGTAAACAAATCCAACACTAAAATTAATATTCCAAAGCAGAGGATAAGTAATATATTAAAAATTGATCTACATGACATGTTGTAGAAACAATTGAGGTTTTGACAAAAGTCAAGTGATAATCATTCTACAATAAATTTAAACCTACCTTCTCCTGGACAAACATTAGTAAGTATTTATGAAAAAAGGTTATTCTATTTTATCATGCTTCTTCCACAAACTTCAAAACTCCAATGCTGAGGTACTGGTAATCTACCAATGTGTTTTTGATATTAGAATTTAAAATTATTTGGATTATTATCAATTAATTATACATTTGAAAGCATTAAACCTAGTTACACTAAATATAACATTTCCGAAAGGAAGAAGCATTACTCTATAAGAACTGGGTCTAAAAATATGCTACTAGCCTAAACTATGGTAGTATGTGATGCTTGTACTGTGAAATTATTAGTACAGGTTCTATATTGCAAGCAATACAAACATTTAAAAGATACTTTATCGGAAAACAAGCAAATGTAAGATTATAAGAGCATGACGACAGCGACACAAACGTAATGGAAAGGTGAAGCTACGTATGGCATCCAAGTGAAGCTACGCACATCGCACATGCCGTGTGAGCGTGTGTGTTTGTGAGTTAGGCCTACCTGTACCTGACCTTAGGTGTATGTTCGTGTGCTTAGCTTACCTGCCGGCCTTCTACTTGTGTGGGTACGGGGCAGGCATCTAAAGAGAGAGAGAGAAGACAGATAGATAGACAGAGAGATAGAGGAAGAAGGAGGACATTACAGGCCGGAAAGATTACAAATATTTCAGTGTACTTTCGTCATTTGTACAGGGTACACCCAAGTGTACAATCCATGTAGTTTTCATGTATTATGTATTTTATCGTAGATATAGTATTGGCGTGTCTCTGAAATTGTGAGCTGAATTGTTTCAAACAAATCGTAGTAATAATCGGGGTCCGGCTGTATTGTTATTTTACTTTGGTGTAGAAAGATGTTAAACTTCAATATTTATTTATATTTGAAAAAAAGAGACAAGAAACAAATGGAACACAGCAACATGCGACAGATGTTGCAATCGTATAATCAATCACACAATCAAACTTGAAACATCCAAAACATCGGGAGAAATATGTGAACATTGTTGGTAGACTTTAAATAACTTTCTTTTAATTCTTATAGACATTTGTTCTGACAGAGATTGTCAGATTTAAGTATTTATAAGGCAAATAGATCTGTAAAACTAGAAAAATAAAATATTATCACTGATTATTAAGTGATTATAATGTTGTTAGCAGGAATACCTTAAGTTTACTTCTAGAGAAGTCCTTATTTATCGGAAAACAAAATGGCTTTTTTAAAAGTTTGAATAATTAGTGACAGTGATGGGTAGCCTACTATAACGACCTTCATGGCTACTTGAAAGAACCTTTAATCATGAAACTGAAAAAAACAAACTATCTAATTCTACCGGATGCGACGAAAAACCCATCTATTTTATGTAGTGCACTGTTCAGCGACAGGTCGTCTGAGAGTGGTGGGGTTGGAAACCCTACACGATGCCATTATCTGTGGTCATAGAGCAGTGGTCACCTGAGCAACGTGCGTTTGTTATCAAACCAAATTAAAAAAATAATAATTCATTCATTGCAACTCATTGGCAGTTCCATGCATTCTTCTAATTAGGGTGACGTGGATTCAGTGAAGTAGCACAATCACGTGTTGGGTTACTATAACATTAGAACAACGGGTTCTGCCTTGAAAAAAGAGATGACAAGCCTGTCCAAAGCAGATCGGACGCCAGACAACTAACATTCAATAGAGTTCAAGTTGCTGTGGAAAACAGGCCCGCCCGAAAACAAGCATTTGCTTTGAACATGTCTGACTGCTCGGTTACACTAATTTCGATCTTAATTCTTATCCCTACAGATTAATTTTTATTAATCTTTGTTTTGTTGATTACCCATACAGATAATCGCGGTGGAACCTCTCCATCTCAACCTAATTTAAAGAATGCATGGAGATGCCGCTAAGATGCAATGACTGAAACATTACATTTTTTAAACTACAGGGTTATTCAAAATGAACGACCCAGTTTTAACGCTTTATAACTTTTAAACTATTAAACTTACCGCTATAAAATACACATCAAACGAAAAAGCAACTCAAAGAGTTTATGCCTTCCAAAGACACATCATTTAACAAAATCGATCCAACAGAACTGTAGATTTAATTGTACAAAGTTAAAAAGTAATCTCCAACTTTTTTTACCACTAGAAATTTGGAGGTTACTTGACGTTTTTGCAAATAACTTTTAAATGGTGAGGAAATTGACCAAAGTGGAAGGTATTATTCCGAAAGAGAATAAAATTTCCTACAACTTAGTATTAGGCATTTTTTGAAAATACAGTAGACCCCCTCTTAACCGACCTCGTATTAACCGATAATCGGATTATCCACCTTCGATCGTAAAATAATACAGTTTGTTTTAACCGACCTTGCTTTGAGAGCAGCTCGGTTTAACCGCCGCTTTCTAGGAATCTCGGCATTTCCGCTCCCACGCTGGGCGATGAGAACTTAACCATACGCTTATCTCCACAGGATATGACTAAGAATAAATTATTTTGTATTGATCGCAAAAATTATAGCATAGCCTATTGTCAATTTGTCATCATCATTCGTAATGCGAGCACATCTGATCTGATTTGTTATCTGTACGGCAAATTTATAACATCATGAAGTGTGCGTTACCTGATTATCTTATCACTGGAATAAACAAACAGAAACAACACAACTTGTAGGGAGGGCAGGGAAAGGGGGTTTACAACTCCAAGGTCAAGATAGTTTTTGTGCCTGGAGCCTCCATTGAGAGGTTATAAACATCCTGTCTTGTAACAAAATGGTTGCTTGCATCTTTAATTTCGACAAAAGGTTCTTTACTGTATCAATTAATACATTACAGTACTAAAGTTACGGTATTGAAATATTTTTATTGATTAATTTTTATTGACTCTTGCCTACTATTATAATATATTCCACTGAAAGTAGGCCTATTTGACTTAACCGTGTTTTGTGTTTATTTGTGACTTTTCTGTCAATACGAAAAAGGAGATAAGAGTAGTTTATTTTATAAATAATGCATGTATGGCTTCAAAATAATGATTATATAATTCCAAATGAATAGCACTTCATTATATTATGATTTTAGGGATTGCCCGTTTTAATCGACCTATTGAGTCATCCGACCTAGGTCCGGTCCCATTAGGGTCGGTTAAGAGGGGGTCTATTGTACTCAAGAAAGGTACCAAAAATTGCCTCAAAATGAAAAAAAAAAATTGAAAATTCCCGTCTTCAATGTAGACAATAAACATAGCAAACATTAAATTTCACACTTTTTTATTTTAAGCCAAATTTAGGCTACATTTATTAAATATTTTCAAGATATGCATAATAGTAGATTGTAGGAAATTTTATTCTCTTTCGGAATATTACCTTCCACTTTGGTCAATTTCCTCACCATTTAAAAGTTATTTGCAAAAACGTCAAGTAACCTCCAAATTTCTAGTGGTAAAAAAAGTTGGAGATTACTTTTTAACTTTGTACAATTAAATCTACAGTTCTGTTGGATCGATTTTGTTAAATGATGTGTCTTTGGAAGGCATAAACTCTTTGAGTTGCTTTTTCGTTTGATGTGTATTTTATAGCGGTAAGTTTAATAGTATAAAAATTATAAAGTAGGTATTAAAAATGGGTCCATCATTTAGAATAACCTTGTACTTTATAAAAAACGCCTGTTGCTCAGAGGACCACTGATCTCTGACTACAGATAATGGCAACGTGTAGGCTTTCCCACAAGCCCATCACCACCACCCTCAGACGACCTGTCGCTGAACAGTGCGCTACAGAAAATAGAACGGTTTTTTTGCCGCACCCTGTGTTTGCACCCCATGTAGGTTTCAACATAGTCTTAGGATACTTATGTTCCATAAAAAAAATTGATCAAATGCACAGATAGAACACATGACATTGTTGAAACAAACATTCAAACTAAACGAATTTACTGTTTTCTTTATTGAACTTTAAACTGACCAGGTTCATCATAAAACCTTCAATAAAATAAAGAATTTTATGAAGATTTTTTCATAAACAAACATTAATTACCGTACATCATCCAAATATCCTTTTTATTAGTTACGATAGCACGGAATACAATATGACACAATCAGCACTATAAGTGTTCCTGTGGCAATAATAGGCTTCGTATAATGATGTATATGTTTTGGTAAAGTATGAAATGCAGTAATAATAATAGGGATTTATACACTATGACCGGGCATGGTGTATAATAGCTACCAATTCTATACATGGTGCCAGAAAAAAGTATTACGAAAAGAGAAAGAGGTCCACAGAAACTATTTAATTTCAAATATTGAAATATTTTTTGTAGTTCGATTAGTTTAGGTTAGGTTCGTTTATATTAGATTATTTAATAGAAAACAAGGATTCAAAAGTCTAAAACGTCCTACAATTACAAATTTCATCATTTGTTGGACTTTACTTGGAGAGCCATCATACATTCTAAAAAATGACTGGGCAAAGTATATAGGCTAGTAAGTATATATAGGCTAGTAAGTATATATAGGATAGTAAGCTTTATTTCATACTTTGTCTGCCTCATTTTACAACTTTTGTAAGATTGTAAACAAAACAGCTAGAAGAAATCATATTAGTGATACTGTACAACACTTTACTAAAATCATTTAAATCAGCCTCAAAACAAACACAGTTTAATATGTTATATTTTTATCCAACATTTCTAGATTATTGAGTTATTTAAATGCACTGCTTCCATGTTAATTTAATCTGTGTAGGAAATAAATTAATTTTTAGACATGTATTATGAAATTTTTTAAATGGCATTATTTTAATGAAGGTTCTAAAAGTTTAATCAAAATATATATATAAAATAGTTATCTATTTTTTATCAAATTTTAAAAGGTACAGTAAATTTTGATCCAACATCTAATGATTATCGAGATATTCAATTTCAATTGCGTCCCATGTTATCTGTATGTATAAAGAATACATTAATTTATGTAGACCGTTATGCATTTTTTATTGCATTTTAAACTATATTTATTTTATCGTAGGCTTTAAAGGCTAAAAAAATAGAAAAAAGTCCATGAAGCAGAAAACCTAGGTACTATTGGGCCAATGTTATTAAATACTGGGCGTAGATCTATACATTTCTTTTTACTATAGACCTGCTTATGGATTTTAAAAATCAGCGGCTGGAAAAACGCATAGCTTGCAGGTTTGTTAATACAAGATTATTTTTATATGCTCTCATTTTGCTTTCTATATTTTATATCAATACAAACGGGAGAACACAGTAGTTTCCCTTCATGTGAGTAAATATTTGCGGGTGCATTTTGAAGGAGGAATATAAAATGGTGGGTAATGAGAAGGTAATGGAATATACAAATAGATTATTTGTGGATATCAAGATTATTAACTGCTTAATTATGGCAAACAAGTAGTTTTTTATTTTGTAAAAAATTATAGGTTTCATATCCACATAGTAGAGTAATTGAGCATACGTTTTTGTTTACTATCGATAATTCAAAAGCAAATGATATTGTACACCATTCAAATTACTGCTTGCATTTCTTCAGTTGAAAAAAATTTAAGCTAGACCTATTTAGTTTGCTTACTTATCCA